GAAGGAGGTTGTTGGCCAAGATCTCGCGATACATGGCCCATGTATGTCCATCCTCCCCTCAATACGGTGCATTCGTCCTGTCCCCTTTGCAGAAAAGCATCCCCAAAGAATGATGTTTCCACCTCCATGCTTCACGGTTGGGATGGTGTTCTTGGGGTTGTAGTCATCCTTCTTCTTCCTCCAAACACGGCGAGTGGAGTTTAGACCAAAAAGCTCTATTTTTGTCTTATCAGACCACATGACCTTCTCCCATTCCTCCTCTGGATCATCCAGATGGTCATTGGCAAACTTCAGACGGGCCTGGACATGCGCTGGCTTGAGCAGGGGGACCTTGCCTTCTCACCAAGCTGCTTGCCTATTGTCCTGTAGCCCATCCCAGCCTTGTGCAGGTCTACAATTTTATCCCTGATTTCCTTACACAGCTCTCTGGTCTTGGCCATTGTGGAGAGGTTAGAGTCTGTTTGATTGAGTGTGTGGACAGGTGTCTTTTATACAGGTAACGAGTTCAAACAGGTGCAGTTAATACAGGTAATGAGTGGAGAACAGGAGGGCTTCTTAAAGAAAAACTAACAGGTCTGTATCTCACAGTTGAAGTGTACATATAATAAAAATTACAGTCCTCTACATGCTTTGTAAGTAGGAAAACCTGCAAAATCGGCAGTGTATCAAATACTTGTTCTCCCCACTGTATGTTATCCTCGTTACTAACGAGACATGTAATCTAAACATGTTATCCTCATTACTAATCGAGACATCCTTTGAAACATGTTATCTCGAATTAGATTTCTGAGACATGTTATTCTCTACCTGTAGATCCAACGGGTGTTGGTGGACAGAACCCTAGATAACATTACAGATCGAAAAACTCAGCTCACACGGAACTGTTTGGGTATTCATTCACCTCTTTCACATGTGAGCTAGTCCCCTGACAGCTCTCATTCACTAAATTATTTATAGCTACATTTCATTCTCTTATTATCCATATTTCAATCAGCTTATTATCCATATTTCAATCTTGTTATCGAAATTTCAATCAGCTTAATATCCACATTTCAATCAATCTTATTATCCAATCAGCTTAAAATCCACATTTCAATCATTCTTATTATCACATTTCAATCAGTTTAACATCAAAATGTCAATCTTATTATAAACATTTCATTCTTAATAGTAATAATTTCAATCCATTTTTTATCAAATTTCAATCAGCTTAATACAGTGAGGGAAAAAAGTATTTGATCCCCTGCTGATTTTGTACGTTTGCCCACTGACAAAGACATGATCAGACTATAATTTTAATGGTAGGTTTATTTGAACAGTGAGAGACAGAATAACAACAAAAAATTCCAGAAAAACGCATGTAAAAAATGTTATAAATTGATTTGCATTTTAATGAGGGAAATAAGTATTTGACCCTTCTGCAAAACATGACTTAGTACTTGGTGACAAAACCCTTGTTGGCAATCACAGAGGTCAGACGTTTCTTGTAGTTGGCCAACAGGTTTGCATACATCTCAGGAGGGATTTTGTCCCACTCCTCTCTGCAGATCTTCTCCAAGTCATTAAGGTTTTGAGGCTGACGTTTGGCAACTCGAAACTTCAGCTCCCTCCACAGATTTTCTATGGGATTAAGGTCTGGAGACTGGCTAGGCCACTCCAGGACCTTAATGTGCTTCTTCTTGAGCCACACCTTTGTTGCCTTGGCCATGTGTTTTGGGTCATTGTCATGCTGGAATACCCATCCTCGACCCATTTTCAATGTACTGGCTGAGGGAAGGAGGTTCTCACCCAAGATTTGACGGTACATGGCCCCGTCCATCGTCCCTTTGATGCGGTGAAGTTGTCCTGTCCCCTTAGCAGAAAAACACCCCCAAAGCATAATGTTTCCACCTCCATGTTTGACGGTGGGGATGGTGTTCTTGGGGTCATAGGCAGCATTCCTCCTCCTCCAAACACGGCGAGTTGAGTTGATGCCAAAGAGCTCAATTTTGGTCTCATCTGACCACAACACTTTCACCCAGTTCTCCTCTGAATCATTCAGATGTTCATTGGCAAACTTCAGACAGGCCTGTATATGTGCTTTCTTGAGCAGGGGGACCTTGCGGGCGCTGCAGGATTTCAGTCCTTCACGGCGTAGTGTGTTACCAATAGTTTTCTTGGTGACTATGGTCCCAGCTGCCTTGAGATCATTGACAAGATCCTCCTGTGTAGTTCTGGGCTGATTCCTCACCGTTCTCATGATCATTGCAACTCCACGAGGTGAGATCTTGCATGGAGCCCCAGGCCGAGGGAGAATGACAGTTCTTTTGTGTTTCTTCCATTTGCGAATAATCGCACCAACTGTTGTCACCTTCTCACCAAGCTGCTTGGCGATGGTCTTGTAGCCCATTCCAGCCTTGTGTAGGTCTACAATCTTGTCCCTGACATCCTTGGAGAGCTCTTTGGTCTTGGCCATGGTGGAGAGTTTGGAATCTGATTGATTGATTGCTTCTGTGGACAGGTGTCTTTTATACAGGTAACAAGCTGAGATTAGGAGCACTCCCTTTAAGAGTGTGCTCCTAATCTCAGCTCGTTACCTTTATAAAAGACACCTGGGAGCCAGAAATCTTTCTGATTGAGAGGGGGTCAAATACTTATTTCCCTCATTAAAATGCAAATCGATTTATAACATTTTTTACATGCGTTTTTCTCGATTTTTTGTTGTTGTTATTCTGTCTCTCACTGTTCAAATAAACCTACCATTAAAATTATAGACTGGTCATTTCTTTGTCAATGGGCAAACATACAAAATCAGCAGGGGATCAAATACTTTTTCCCCTCACTGTACACCTGTTCTGAAAGGCCCCAGAGCCTGCAACACCACTAAGCAAGGGGCACCACCAAGCAAGCGTCACCATGAAGACCAAGGAGCTCTCCAAACAGGTCAGGGACAAAGTTGTGGAGAAGTACAGATCAGGGTTGGGTTATAAAAAAATATCAGAAACTTTGAACATCCCACGGAGCAACATAAAATCCATTATTAAAAAATGGAAAGAATATGGCACCACAACAAACCTGCCAAGAGAGGGCCGCCCACCAAAACTCACGGACCAGGCAAGGAGGGCATTAATCAGAGAGGCAACAAAGAGTCCAAAGATAACCCTGAAGTAGCTGCAAAGCTCCACAGTGGAGATTGGAGTATCTGTCCATAGGACTCCCCAAACATATGGAAGAACGTACTCTGGTCAGATGAGACTAAAATTGACCCAGAGAACACCATCCCCACAGTGAAGCATGGTGGTGGCAGCATCATGCTTGGGGGATGTTTTTCATCGGCAGGGACTGGGAAACTGGTCAGAATTGAAGGAATGATGGATGGCGCCAAATACAGGGAAATTCTTGAGGGAAACCTGTTTCAGTCTTCCAGAGATTTGAGACTGGGACGGAGGTTCACCTTCCAGCAGGGAAACATTTAAATGTCTTGGAATGGCCTAGTCAAAGCCCAAAACCTCAATTGAGAATCTGTGGTATGACTTAAAGATTGCTGTACACCAGCAGAACCCATCCAACTTGAAGGAGTTTTGCCTTGAAGAATGGGCAAAAATCCCAGTGGCTAGATGTGCCAAGCTTATAGAGACATACCCCAAGAGACTTGCAGCTGTAATTGCTGCAAAAGGTGACTCTACAAAGTCTTGACTTTGTGTGTGTGGGGGGGGGGGGGGGGGTGAATAGTTATGCATGCTCAAGTTCTGTTTTTTTGTCTTATTTCTTGTTTGTTTCACAATAAAAAATATTTTGCATCTTCAAAGTGGTAGGCATGTTGTGTAAATCAAATTATACATTATACAAACCCCCCAAAAAAACATTTTAATTCCAGGTTGTTAGGCAACAAAATAGGAAACATGCCAAGGGGGGTGAATACTTTCGCAAGCCACTGTATGTTGGAACTCCTTCAAGACTGTTGGAAAAGCATTCCAGGTGAAGCTGGTTGAGAGAATACCAAGAGTGTGCAAAGGTGTCATCAAGGCAAAGGGTGGCTACTTTGAAGAATCTCAAATATAAAATATATTTTGATTTGTTTAACACTTTTTTGGTTGCTACATGATTCCATATGTGTTATTTCATAGTTTTGATGTATTCACTATTATTCTACAATGTAGAAAATAGTAAATATAATGAAACACCCTGGAATGAGTAGGTGTGTCCAAATGTTTGTATAGACCTTGTCAACAGTAATGAATAGAAAAGGTGTCTACAGCAGTAGTTATATAGGATGAGCCTTGACTACAATAAGGTGTATACATATGAAGTGGGTAAAACAGTATGTAAACATTATTAAAGTGACCAGTGTTCAATGACTATGTACATAGGGCAGCAGTCTCTAAGGTGCAGGGTTGAGTACCGGGTGGTAGCTGGCTAGAAAAAAGTGACTATAGTTCAGGGCATGGTACTGGGCGGAGGCCAGCTAGTGGTGACTATTTAACAGTCCTTATTAGCCTTATGAACATAGAAACGTGGTTGCAGTTTCTATGCTAGAATTGTAAAACGTAATATATCTTTAATACTGGTAATCAGAATGTGTTGTTAGCTGTCAAGTTATATGGCTACGATTTTATTCATGTTTGAAGTGTAATTTTATGATTACTTTGAAAGAAAAGCTATTGTTTCAAGACCCTCAAAAGCTATTGTTTACCCTTTATATTTCTAAATAAATCATGTCTATTTGTTCGACCCGCAGCCCATCACTCAGATTATGTTTTGTCCCACCAAGCCCAGAAGTCTGAGCACCCCTGATCTAGATGCTGTTTACACGTGTCTTCAGTCTCACTGTATCTGTGTCATGTTCAGTTCTATCATAAGATAACCACCCAAACTCTTCAAATAGGAACGCCCATTTATGTATTCAGATCATGATCTTATTATTATGTGATGAACGTCATCACAGCTCTCCATCCCCCTTCTCTCTCCTTCTTTCCTCCTCTCTCTCTCTCTCTCTTTCTCTCTCGCTCTCCCTCTCTCAGGCCCGATTCTCCTACCTGCACATGAAGTATCTGTTCTTCTCATGGCTGGCAGTTTTCGTGGGTAGCTGGGTGGTGTATGTGGAGTACTCATCCTACTCAGAGCTGTGCCGTGGACATGCATGCAAGAATGCCATAGTGAGTTCTCTATTTCCTTATATTAAATTAGTAAATTGATGTAGCCACCTACTGGTTAAAAAAAGTAATCCTTCAAATACAGTCTTCCAATGTTAGCTTCCATATTGTATTGAAACCATCCTGTGAGCTACTATACAAAACAAACACTATTTCTGTGTGTCTATTAGTTAGTTACAGTATACAAACCCACACCATATCTATGTGTTTATCTATTTCAGTGTGACAAGTACAGGAAAGGAGTGATCGACGGCTCAGCATGCAGCAGCCTGTGTGAGAAAGAGACGCTGTACCTGGGGAAGTGTCTCTCTGCCAAGCCTAACAACCAGGTCAGATCTGCCTTTATGTCTGTTCCGGCACTAGCTGATACTAGTTCTATGGTAAATCTCAAACGTCTTTCTGTGATTTCTCACGTCCTCTCTCCTCGCCTCCTTTCCAAAATGAGAGGGAAGGAGAGCATCCAAGGACCTTCTCCTCCAATCCACCTGCATCTCCTCACTTCCTTCTGACATTGGAGAGGTGGTGAGGAGAGAGGACACGAGGAATCAAGAAAGGACTTTTGAGATTCACCCCTAGTGTTTAGCCCTACAGGGCCAATTGCAACCATCATTGGCCACCGATTTACAGCTCCATAACGCGGATGTTGGGGTTATCTTTTAGTCCCATAGAGAATGATAGAGCCCTCTAGTGGCCAAAAGGCGGTATTAGCATGGGCAGCGCCATTGAGGGCTTCCACCATTTTAATGTAGTCAACTGGGTGGGACTTCCAACTTCATTGGCTGATACCTCCTGGTGACCCTGTTGGAGTCATGTCCAACCGGTTCATCAGGAGGGATCAGCCAATCGTTGAGAAAAAAATGGACTACTTCAAAATGGAGATTGCCTCTGGCAGTGGCCATGCTGTCACATACGCTATAATGGCACAGATACAAAGATGAGTCCTCATTGCAACCAACATTTTTTCAAGACAATTTTGCCCTCTGGTGGGTATTATCATCATAACAGTTTAATCCCAAAGTCGATTTATCTATTTGATAATCATTCCGTACAACTGAAATAAAGTATTTAATTTCCTCGTTTACCATGGCAAATCTACTATGGCCTTAGACCGCTGCGCCACTTGGGAGGCCCTTACTGTGGCAATCCTACACATTTTATGAAAGACAAAATCATGTTGGTGCACTCTCTTAATTTTTTGTTTCCAATTTATGTAATCCATTCATTCCAATTTGTCTTTAAGAAATATAATCATTTCTTATCAAGACCAGGGGTGGGAAATATCCCTCCACTGTCCATATTTGTGTAACTAAATCAAGTCAGTCGTGATGGGTTATATAATCTATAACTTTTATCAAATGAAAATGTAGTCTAATAAAGTTATTTCAAAAGGCACACATATATCATTTGGCAATTTAAGATGAAAGGTTTGAATGAAGTATAGGCCTCCTATATTCTTATAATAAGTATTTTACATTCATCAGCCTTACGGTTTCAGATGCTCCTGATAGGTTGTAATTTAATTGGGTGCCGTAATAAAGAATCTAGACAATGAGAGTTGCAGCTGTCTGCCATCAATGTAAGATCAGCTAAATCACTGGTTTATGCTTGTGGGATTTTCATTGCAATCAAGCTTATTTCATTGCAATCAAGCTTATTTTAGCACGCAGGTGCATGTAATCTCCCAATTACTATCATTTTAAGAAAACCAGCGCTAACACGGTGCTCCATGAGAATTTCTGCATATTCGTTGCTATCCACCCAGTGTTTCTGTGTCTGATAACTAACACCAGTGTGTTGTGGCTCTATGTGTGTCTCTCTCAGGTGTACTCAGGTGGCTGGGGGGACCTGGAGGGGGTGATTAAGTGCCAGATGGAGGAGGTTCCCCGTTATGACCCGGGAGCTGAGATGGAGCACAGGAAGGAGGCGTCGCACTTCAACAAGCCCACCAAGGGAACCTCCGTGGAGAAGTTCAGAGAGATAGTCCTCAGCCACCTCAAGGTCAGAGTACTGTCCTCTCATCCCAGTGTGATTCATTAGCCTACCTGCTTTTCCACTTGATTAATGGGTTCATGTCTGCAACACTTATTTGACGGCTAGCAACATAAGGACTTTATAACACATTCATAATTCATACATACTGCCTTCAAAATCAGGGCTTCATAACCGAAAGTTGATACTTTCGTTATGTCACAGTATTCACATTCATGTAACTTATTGCATCCTTTGTAAGTGTGTTATGACTTAAGTGGCTAGTGTGTTCATTAATGCAGTTCTGTTACGAAGGTATCTCTTACCCTTATTCGTCTTCCTCTCCAGACCAAGGTGGGTGAACAGGCCAACCTTGAAGACCTGGTGAGCCTGGTTCTCTTCGTGGCCGACTACAACAAAGACGGCCTCATCTCCCTACCTGAGGCCCGTTCCATGTGGGCCCTGCTCCAGCTCAATGAGTTCCTGCTAGCGGTGGTCCTGCAGGACAGGGAGCATGCCCCCAGGCTGCTGGGCTTCTGTGGGGACCTGTACGTGATGGAGAAGGTAATCTAATAGGAACATTTATGGATTCTAATAACTTTTTTGTGATATAAAAAAAATGAATCTCACACAACACAAAAATTAACACCAGCAAACATAACAAATGGATTCCAATCATGAGCTTATTTATGTGATGAAAGTCATCACAGCTCTCTCTCTCTCTCCTCTTTCTCCTCACCCTCCTTCTCAACCCCCATCTCTCTCGCTCCCTCTCTACCCCTCTTTCTCTGTACCTGTATGTGATGGAGAAGGTGCCCTACACTCCCTTGTACGGCATCAGCCTGCCCTGGGTAGTGGAGCTGTGGATACCCGCGGGCGTACGACGCAGCATGGACCAGTGGTTCACGCCCTCCTGGCCCCGCAAGGCCAAGATCTCCATCGGCCTGCTGGAGCTTGTAGAGGACGTCTTCCACGGCACCTTTGGCTCTTTCCTCATGTGTGACGTGAGTGCAGCCGGCTTCGGCTACAACGACCGCCACGACCTGAAAGTGATGGACGCTCACCACATCGTCCCCGAGGCCACCTTCCAGGAAGCCATGAGGGAGCGGCGGTGCGACATGGACGAGGACTGTCTGTACGGGGTCGACTGTCGCACTTCCTGTGACCTCACCAAGCACCGCTGTACGCCAGAGGTGACGCGGCCCAACCTGGCCAAGGCGTGCGGCTCGCTGAAGGACTACCTCCTGCGTGGGGCGCCGTCTGACATTCAGGATGAGCTGGAGAAACAGCTGTATGCTTGTATAGCGTTGAAGGGCTCGGCGGAACAGATGGAGATGGAACACTCGCTTATACTGAACAACCTGAAGACCTTGTTGTGGAAGAAAATATCGCACACCAAGGACTCCTAATGAGGCGAAAACATAGGTACTGTACGTCCCGACTCTCTACCCTTCTCCCAAAGTGTGCACTAGCACACTCCCGGTCATGTATTTGAAAGCATTGGTTGGAACCGAGTTTCTGTCATTGACAATCCAGTACGGGGAGTGGTTAAATGCACGCTTTGGGAAAGGGTGGAGAATCAGGACACATATGAGCACTACCGCTGCCTCTGTCGAACCGTCTGGTTTCACAGCGCCTCAGAACTGAACGTGACTTGAAGTCTATGGCAGGAGCGGATGAAACAACCGCTCGTTTTAATTGGCTGATCTCTGTCCATCACCATCTAGTATAACCCTTAGAACCTCCCCCCTACTTTGTGGAGTAGCACATATGATTTAAAGAAGTGAGTGAGTTTGGAAAATCTGAAAGTACTCATCTTTGAAATAGTTTTCACATATAAACTTTATATGCCCGAACTCAGAATCAATTGAGCGTCCCAAAAATAAAATGATCAATGTGATAGAAAAATTGTGAAAATCCTCAATCAAAATAAATGTTCTAAGTCCCATCTAATAGAGCCCCACGGTGGAGGAGTCATAATACCCATAAATTCTAGCGGTCAAACAGGGAAATGGTTCCAATCGTTTTGACACCATTCATTTTTCCCATAGGAGATTTTAGAAACACTTAAAATAAGGGCTGTGTTTCGTGTAGGCTTACCCTGGCGTGACGTTTTAATAACCATGTAAATCTCTCTCGAACAAGGTTACTTTTATCAATATATTCGGCTCTATTTACTCTCAGATTCGAAAATGCTAATTAGCATCAAAGCAGACATCATGCAAAAATATTAATCCCTGCAAGTTCCTGCATGTCATCTCTGGCACCTTTGCGAACAGGTAGTGTCAATTTAAAACTTGCACAAGACAGTTCACAGAATTGTCAATTTAAAGAAATGTAGCTAATTTATTCATTACTACATTTAGCTAACATTAAATGGTTAATCCACAGATTCTTACCTTTGCCTCGATTTGGCAGTCTCATCCAGATCATCATGGCATTTGCAGTTCTTTATGATAGCCACATTAGCAGCTAATACAGACTAATATATTGATAAAAGTCACCTTGTCCTAGAGCGATATCAAAATGTCACGCCAGGGTAAGCCTACACGGAACACAGCTCTTATTTTAAGTGTTTCTAAAAAATAAAAAAAATATGGGAAAAATGAATGGTGGAAAAATAATTGGAACCATTTCCCTGTTTGACCGCTAGGTTCTATGGGTAATATGACTCATACTGTGGTACTCTATACAGTTGTAGCAGGCTTGCTCCCTGTCCCTCCTCGATTTTAACCACACCCCTTTTCAAGTCCCAATTTGTTGCAGTGTTACCAGCACAGATAGAACAATGAGCCAGATGTTTCACCGGCTGTATAAATCTGACGCATCCGGTTGACGTTTCCACTCACCACCAAATATGGTGATGAGAGGAAGCCAAGTGGCTGGCAGTGCGAGAAGATGGCGCGAGATGGATTTTGACCGACATTCTGCTCATTTTCTCATCTATGAAACATTTGATCTCAATACAGTTGGTTAACCAAACTGTGGTTAACGAGGTTAATCAAACTGAGTGTCAGGTAAAAATAATGCGTTACAATCAAGGGGGAAGGGGGAATTGTTGCATTTCATATGTGTAATGTTTACATTAGATTTTATTAGATTTACTGTACATTTCTAGAAAACAATGCCATTGTCAACTTCTCCCTTAACATCTTTATTTACATCAGCATTGACATTTAACATTGATGGAAAATCGTCAAAATCTGCATTGATTCAGTTGTTGCAATTGTTTCATTCAGAATGAATTTTGACATTCTTATTTTCTAGAATCCAAGGGCATTATACATTTGCACATTAAAGGCCCAGTGCAGTCAAAAATGTGATTATCCTGTGTTTTATATATATTTCCACAGAGGTTTGAATAATACTGTGAAATTGTGAAAATGATAATGCCCTTTTAGTGTAAGAGCTGTTTGACTACCAGCACCTAAAATGTTCTACTGCTAGAGCTCCTGTTCCTCTTATTTCTTTTATATTTATTTAACTAGGCAAGTCAGTTAAGAACAAATTCTTATTTACAATGACGGCCTACACTGGCCAAACCCGGACGACGCTGGGCCAATTGTGCGCCGCCCTATGGGACTCCCAATCACGGCCGGTTGTGATACAGCCTGGAATCGAACCAGGGGGTCTGTAGTTACGCCTCAAGCACTGAGATGCAGTGCCTTAGACCGCTGCGCCACATAGAAGTATTGTGGAGCTCCTGCACCTAAATATTAAACACTACCGGCAATTAAAATGAGTACCGGAACCTATTTCAGGCCAAGTCAAGCACTGGCAGTGAATTAGTTAAAATAGACCAATTACAGCTAGTTTCCCCCTCCCCACTCAGAGGTAGTAGCAACAGTTTTGCTTGAGAAATTGTTCTTGCTAAGAAGTTATTTTTGTTTCTTTTTGACCATTTTGATTGTTTTCAATCACAGTAAGGTAGTTAATGGTTATGCAGAAATGTGATATTGAGATAAAAATGGCTACATTGGGCCTTTTAAATATAAATTAAGTATATCTTTCATTGCATGCCCCCAGAGACCCTTTTCAACTACTGATGAGGTAACATCACCCAATATATGATTTCATTCCTGAATCAATAGGCCCAGTGTTTTCAACACATGTTCATAGTCTATGGCGGGGGTATTCAAATCTGAGACGGGGGGTCTGGGAAACCAGAGAGGAAGAGGTGAAGCTAGAGGATTTACTCCGCCCAAAGTCTATCCGCGAGATGAGCCTTTTTTTTTAATGGAGGTCTCTGCGTGTCGATTTACGTGAGGCTTATATGATCTAATATAAGTTTGGTAATGTTGAGGCTATTACAAATGTACTGATAAGTGGATGCACATGGCATTCCGGCAACTTTGAGAAAAATGCAAATTGTCCGAGTAGCCATGATTAGCTGTTCAGGAGTCTTATGGCTTGGGGGTAGAAGCTGTTAAGAAGCCTTTTGGACCTAGACTTGGCACTCCGGTACCGCTTGCCGTGCGGTAGCAGAGAGAACAGTCTATGACTAGGGGGGCTGGAGTCTTTGACCATTTTTAGGGCCTTCCTCTGACACCGCCTGGTATAGAGGTCCTGGATGGCAGGAAGCTTGGCCCCAGTGATGTACTGGGCCATACGCATTACCCTCTGTAGTGCCTTGCGGTCGGAGGCCAAGCAATTTGCCATACCAGGCGGTGATGCAACCAGTCAGGATGCTCTCGATGGTGCAGCTGTAGAACTTTTTGAGGATCTGAGGACCAATGCTAAATCTTTTCAGTCTCCTGAGGGGGAATAGGCTTTGTCGTGCCCTCTTCACGACTGTCTTGGTGTGTTTGGACCATGATAGTTTGTTGGTGATGTGGACACCAAGGAACTTGAAGCTCTCAACCTATTCCACTACAGCCCCGTCGATGAGAATGGGGGCGTGCTCAGTCCTCTTTTTTTCCTGTAGTCCACAATCATCTCCTTTGTCTTGATCATGTTGAGGGAGAGGTTGTTATCCTGGCACCACACGGCCGTGCCTGGCCATGCAGTCATGGGTGAACAGGGAGTACAGGAGGGCTCTGAGCACACACCCCTGAGGGGCCCCCGTGTTGAGGATCAGCGTGGCAGATGTGTTGTTACCTACCCGTACCATCTGGGGGCGGCCCGTCAGGAAGTCCAGGATCCAGTTGCAGAGGGAGGTGTTTAGTCCCAGGGTCCTTAGCTTAGTGATGAGCTTTGAGGGCACTATGGTGTTGAATGCTGAGCTGTAGTCAATGAATAGCATTCTCACGTAGGTGTTCCTCTTGTCCAGGTGGGAAAGGGCAGTGTGGAGTGCAATAGAGATTGCATCATCTGTGGATCTGTTGGGGTGGTATGCAAATTGGAGTGGGTCTAGGGTTTCTGGGATAATGGTGTTGATGTGAGCCATGACCAGCCTTTCAAAGCACTTCATGGCTACATATGTGAGTGCTACGGGTCTGTAGTCATTTAGGCAGGGTACCTTAGTGTTCTTGGGCACAGGGACTATGGTGGTCTGCTTGAAACATGTTGGTATTACAGACTCAGTCAGGGACATGTTGAAAATGTCAGTGAAGACACTTGCCAGTTTGTCAGCGCATGCTCGGAGTACACGTGCTGGTAATCCGTCTGGCCCTGCGGCCTTGTGAATGTTGACCTGCTTAAAAGTCTTACTCACATCGGCTACGGAAAGCGTGATCACAGTCATCCGGAACAGCTGATGCTCTCATGCATGTTTCAGTGTTGCTTGCATCGAAGCGAGCATAGAAGTGATTTAGCTCGTCTGGTAGGCTTGTGTCACTTGGCAGCTCGCGGCTGTGCTTCCCTTTGTAGTCTGTAATAGTTGTCAAGCCCTGCCACATCCGACGAGCGTCAGAGCCGGTGTAGTACGATTCAATCTTAGACCTGTATTGACTCTTTGCCTGTTTGATGGTTCGTTGGAGGGCATAGCGGGATTTCTTATCAGCATCTGGGTTAGAGTCCCACTCCTTGAAAGCAGCAGCTCTACCCTTTAGCTCAGTGCGGATGTTGCCTGTAATCCATGGCTTCTGGTTGGGGTATGTACGTACGGTCACTGTGGGGACGACGTCATCGATGCACTTATTGATGAAGCCAATGACTGATGTGGTGTACTCCTCAATGCTACCGGAAGAATCCCGGAACATATTCCAGTCTGTGCTAGCAAAACAGTCCTGTAGCTTAGCATCTGCGTCATCTGACCACTTCCTTATTAACCGAGTCACTGGTGCTTCCTGCTTTAGTTTTTGCTTATAAGCAGGAATCAGGAAGATAGTTATGGTCAGATTTGCCAAATGGAGGGCAAGGGAGAGCTTTGTACACATCTCTGTGTGTGGAGTAAAGGTGGTCTAGAGTTTTTTATCCTCTGGTTGCACATTTAACACACTGGTAGAAATTAGGTAGAATGGAGGCATCTGCCCTCTCATTGGCTAGAATGATCTCGCCTTCCATCGTTGAGGACATGCATTTCCATTGTTAGAGCATGCACTCGAATAGCTTGTCATTATAATAGATAATCGTTGGGAGAACTGCTGTTTTTTTTGTTCAACACGATTATTAAATTGCACCCACCTGGGGTCCCAGGTTGAAAACAGTCCCCAATTAGAGGGGACAAACGAAAATCCAGTGAAACTCACGACGAGGTCCAGATTTGAATACCCCTGGTTTATGGTTTAGATTTTTTTAAATGAATATTACCAACAGATTAAACATTTTGGCAAAGGGATCAAATCAATTTGTATTTGTCACATGCGCCGAATACAACAGGTGTAGATCTTTGTGAAATGCCTCCTTACAAGCCCTTAACCAACAATGCAGTTAAGAAAAATAAGTGTTAAGTAAACGATAAGTAAAAAATAAAAGCAGTAAAATAACAGTAGCGAGTCTATATACAGGAGGCACCAGTTAGTTGAGGTAAATTGAGGTAATATGTACATGTAGGTGTAGTTAAAGTGACTGCATAGATAATAAACATTGTAGCAGCAGCGTAAAAGAGGGGGTGGGGTGGGGGGGGCAATGCAAATAGTCAGAGTAGGCATTTGATTAGCTGTTCAGGAGTCTTATGGATTGGGGGTAGAAGCTGTTAAGAAGCCTTTTGGACCTAGACTTGGCGCTCCGGTACCGCTTGCCATGCGGTAGCAGAGAGAACAGTCTATGACTACAGCTTTCCTCTGACACCGCCTGGTATAGAGGTCCTGGATGGCAGGAAGCTTGGCCATCATGTTGAGGGAGAGGTTTTCCTGGCACCACACGGCCAGGTCTCTGACCACCTCCCTATAGGATGTCTCATCGTTGTCGGTGATCAGGCCTACCACTGTTGTGTCATTGGCAAACTGAATGATGGTGTTGGGAGTTGTGCCTGGCCATGCAGTCATGGATGAACAGGGAGTACAGGAGGGGACTGTGCACGCACCACCGAGGGGCCCCCGTGTTGAGGATCAGCGTGGCAGAGGTGTTACCTACAGAATATGTTGAGGGTGTAATACAACATAATTAATCTACAATTTATGTTCTTAACCAACATGGGCCTGGGAGGCTCACAATGATATTGGTATTCACAGTACTTTATAAATTTTTAATGCAATAATTTAAGCTTCAAGGCAAAATGTGTAGAATTGCAGGATATTAGCTTTAAAGCGGCAACTAAACATCTCTGTCCCATGACAGAAAGTGTAGAATTGCAGGCAACTTGCTTGAAAACAGCAAAATTCTCTCCAATGCCAAGAGATGGGCCTTAAATGGTCCTTCCCAGGGCCCAAGACATAGTAGCATCTCGAGTTGTGTTCTGATTGAAGGGATCCCTGATGAATTTGCCATCACAAAAGGGGTGCCCAGTTTGAAAGTTTGAGAACCCCTGATCTATTCTACACAATCTCAAACACTTGAAACAGTCATTTCTACACTTTCATCAAAGCATCTAAATAAGTGTGCACAAATAACATACAAAGGCTGTATTCTTTTCCAATATATTTATTAGAACCAAGCATTGTTTCTCCATCATTAGGACCAGAGAGTTTAGCTGTCGGCAGCCTCCTGTTCCTGAGCTCTGAGGAAGCTGGCCTTCTTCTGGGCAACGCGGTCTTTCCTCTGGGCCAGAGAGAGCTTGGCACGGTTCCACCTGGTGAGCAAACAGGGAGGATTGATTTCAGAATTACATTTAACAATGCATTTTTACAGTGTCAGTGAACAGGGGGGGGCTTTCATGTCAGCAAACTGCTTTAAAATGCTGACTACCATGTCAGGGGTAGGGTTGAGGACTTGGGGTTACTTCGATTTCAATTCAGTAAGTAAACAATGTGTCATGTTAAAGTAAAGGTAGATTGGAAACTGAATTTCTGTTTACTTCCAAATTGAAATAGAATTGACACCAACTAGGGTCATAATCATCTAGGCAAGTTTACTATCAGGTTATAGATTCATAACATGAAAACCAACAATGCAGTAGCACTGCTTTCCCATATAAAATTGCCAAAACTGCTCATCAACTCACCTCTTCTTCTTGACTTCTTTCTTGGGTTTCTTTTCATGGACTGGGTTCTCACGAATCGCAGCGTGGGCCTTTTTGTACATCTCCTCAACCTGCAGGACAAGTGTGGCAAACAAATTAGTATAATGTGGGTACATAAAATAAATTTCCAGCAATCAAATACACACGCTCACGCAACTGTACAGGCGCCTACTGGATAGCCAAAAATCTACTTCCCCTCTTTACTACTGAACCACGCAAGCTTGATTCAAACTGATTCAGTATAGTTTCTACTCTACACATTAACACCCCCCCACTCCATTTTTTTAAGACATCCAATTGATAGGAGTGAGTTGATGACATTTTGTATTTTCGGTTGAATCTCCTTTCTAGCACATGTATGACAAGCTGTGTGCTGCTCTCAGCCCCGTCTTGAAACGTTGATTACATCAACTTGGGCAAATGAAGGACCAACTACAATTTGCTCAGCCTCAAGTGTATCATCATCAAGCAGCACACAGCTCCTACACAGACGTACGCTGAAATCCAAATCGACCCCTAACCACTCCTGCAGATCAGAGAGCAGTGGATAGGTGGAAGCAATATGGTGACAGTTGAAGTAAACGCTGAATCTCAAACGAGGGCCTCACCCCTACCATCAAGCTAAGAGGGCCCTCTGTTGTCACGTGTGGGATTCGTCCAAAGTGACGAGAGGATTAAATGAACCCATTTACTTCAGGACATTACATTTTACATTTAAGTTATTTAGCAGACGCTCTTATCCAGAGCGACTTACAGGAGCAATTAGGGTTAAGTGCCTTGCTTAAGGGCACAGACAGATTTTTCACCTAGTTGGCTCGGGGATTAGAACCAGCGACCTTTCGGTTACTGGCACAACGCTCTTAACCACTAAGCTACCTGCCGCCCCGTCCGGACACACCTGACTTGAATGATGCAATTCATGTTCCACATTTAAATAATAAAACAAGCATTAGATTCAAATTAACAAATTCCTCCTGTCTTTTTACAAGATATAAACCTCTAACAGTAAACATTTTATTTTGGAGGAATTTCCTCGAAAAAGGACAAACATGCATGTGACATAATTAGGCACGCCTCCTTCTTTCGCGTGAAATTGCACAATCTCCAAACATATCGCAGTGCGTGTTGGCATAGCACTTTGCTCTGGAGCCAGCAGCCTTGCTGGCTTGGTTGAAGTCTAGCGGAGGCTCATGTTGGCCCGTACACACAATTTTCACTCCCTTCGCTTTGGGACACTTTTGCATATGGCAGAGGTCCCCATAAATGCGCAAATGGAAGGCTGAGTGGAAGGGACTGGTTTGGGATTCAGCATAACATTCCCTTCAGAATGTATTGGTGTGAGAAGCTAATATGATCCCCCCCAGTACGCTTACAAACATGATGCATACAAATTTAACAGAACAGTAGTAGCTATCAATACCAGCTCAGGTTCAGTGAAAACCGGGTGCAGATAATTAAGATGTGTAACCATCCAGCAGTGGTGTAAGGCAGTGTTTCCCAACTCCAATCCTCAAGTACCGCCAACAGCACACATTTTTGTTGCAGCCCCAGACAAGCACACCTGATTCAACTTGTCAACTATTCTTCAAGCCCTCAGTTAAATCAGGAGAGTTTGTCCGGTTGCTAAAACAAAAATGTGTGCTGTCGGGGGTACTGGAGTTCAGAAACACTGGTGTAAGGGAACTAAGAGTGTCAGGTATTGGCAGGAATCGCCCCATACAACATCACAGTGGGTTCAGGGTGAACTTTGAACTTGCCTTGTCGGGGGCAACACCATTCTTGATGAAGCGGGAGAACTGCTTCTTGTATGCATCCTCATCCTCCTCCATCAGGTAGCTCATGTACTCCGACACGTTGACGCCCATGATGTGCTTGCGGTGGACCTCTGGATTAAACTCTTTGCTCTCAGCGTCATACCCAGGGAAGCGCTTGGTGCTGAGGGGGAAGAGGGGATAAACGACACTGTCAGACTGAAAGAGGCTACTGAACAACCAGGCTCATTCAAAAGCGCTTATTGACTTTTCCTGAAGATTATAGGCACTAAGGCCCAATAGTTCCACTAAGGCCATATAAAATGATTTCTTGCAGAATACCAAGGATATAACCATAGACTTCGGCATCATTGCATCTTTCCCATTATGGCGTCGGAGCATGGGCAGCGTCATTGAGGCCATCTCCATTTTGAAGTAGTCAATTTTCCTTTTACTACTTCTATGAGTTGGCAAACAAACTGAAAGGGTGCACACTGCCACCTAGAATACGTTGTTTGAACAGGTATAAAGCCATGGTTGGCAATTTACTGCTACCTGCAGTTATAGAATGTTTCCTCACAAGTATAATTCATTGGCTGATCCCTCCTGGTTATGGAATTACGTGATCCTTCCTTAACCCATATGAAGTCCCACCCAGTTGACTACTACAAAAGCCCTCAATGGCGCTACCCATGCTAATACAGGCTTTTGGGCACTAGAGTGATCTCTATGGATATAATACATTTTGATGGTAAACGAATGAATCATATTGCTCTCAGCAACGTCTTGAAACAGGACATGTTACATCAACCTGGGCAAATGAAGGACCAACTACAATTTGCTCAGCCTCGAGTGTGTCAAACAAAATATAGATCTTGACAACTTCAGAAATACAAGCCTGGTCGCAGATCTGTTTGTGATGTATAGAAAATGGCACAAACCAATCTGGACCTAGGGCCATATGCATCAAGTGCCTCAAGAGTAAGAACACTGATCTAGGATCAGTTTTGCCTTTTACATCACAATGAATAAGATTGTGGACGGGGGGAGCTGATCCTACAATCGGCACTGACTCCCGAGACACACGGCCCCTGGCTACAGAAATGTGTTCCCAACGCACAGAAAAGCGTAATTACCTGTGAGGGATGGACAGGCCTCCATCCACAGCCCCCTTCAGGGCTCCGAACACCTTGTTCCCAGTGCTGGTTCTAGCGAGCCCTGCGTCTAGGTAGCAGGTGAATGCACCTGGCTGACCGTCGATACTCTCCACGTTGAACTCATCTCCGGTCACCTCCACCTGACCCTCGTACACCTTGTCCATGCCAAACTTGTTCAGCAGCTGGAGGGGAAAGACAAAAAAGGGATTAGAGAAATCTGTTGTAGTGTTAAGCCAAGCTGACTACATTGGTAGAGTTCTCGCTCAGGAAGAAAGAAACACAGGACGTGGCTAAAGCAGCGAGGCACTCACCCATGCTGCTGCCATGAATCCATTTCAATCAAATCTGCTGCACTGACAGACCACATCAAAGTAAATACAAAGGCTGATTCTGAAGCAACACATTAAACAAGCTAAACAAGTGGAGCAAACTAAACTGACAGACAGCCTTTTGGCTGACCAATTGCCAATTCTTCACAATGAGCAAAGCAGGGTCACATTCAATAGGATTGTTTGACAATTCAGATATAGAACAGACATGTTTCTTTCTCTCATGTTGAACAGGATGTCATGGCATCGCTATAATACACAACAATTTTGTGCAATCGAGAACATGACCCAGAGTTCTGTCAATAGCTTAGCAATTTCAGCACCAACTATCCATATAGCATCCATCATATTTCAAGGCATTGAAGACTAAATAAGGCTTGAGGAAAGGAAATGGTATTTAAAAAGTGTTTGAGAAAATCCAGCATTTCTCTAACAGGGCAGAAACATAGAATAGCCATGAACTACTAAGACCCAGTCCTGAAAACTGACTAAAACTAAAGTAGTAGCCATCAGGTAAGAGTGGGGGGTGTATGAGAACTGATCTTACCCTGCGGGCTAGCAGCAGACCAGTGCAGTAGGCTGCTGCGTAGTTCGTCAGACCCACGGCGATCCCGTACTTGGGCAGCTCGTGGGAGTAGGCGGCGCACACGATCATGTCCCCCTCGATCTTGGCATAGGCAATCTAGAGCAAATACACAAGCATGCAACACATGATAAAATATGACAATATAGGCTACAACATTCAAGGCATAATCGTGTGGCCCTGATCTTTGGTAATCAGTCAATCCCTCATGGAATGGGACATTTCCCATTACCTCCTTGATCATTGTTACCACATGGGACATGTGAGAATGATAGGGAAAATATAGCTGAAGGTGAGAATGCAGTTCCAACTGGACTAGAGCATGGTGCTCAGGTGGCAACAGAGTTGTGGGTTTGACTAACATGAGCCACATGTGTAACTGCCAATCGTGTGCTACTGATGAATAAGTGTTACTCTCAATCATAAAATGCTTTGGCTAAAACCTTCTGCTAAATGATTAGCTATGTATCTGGGATTGGAGAATGAGTATGTGGCCATAAGTTCTGTGTCCATTGTGGTGATTCCAGCTGCATTTTCTCATGTGAAACACATCTTACCTGGCAGACAATATCCCGGTTGGAGAAGCGGACGATCATCCTGTACTTGGGTGTGTTGTACTTGTTCTTATCTTGGATGACCAGGCGCTTACGGGCGAAGTAGTCGGTCTTTCCCTCTAAGCACAACAAGGATACCCAAGTCAGTCAGGTGGAGGTGCATCAGTGGAATGAATAGGGTCTTTAGTGTGAAATGAAAGATCCAGACAGTCATGGCATTTTCAAGTTTAGACTTTCTACTTGATTCTTAAGTCCTAAAACAAATCTTAGACATTTTACCTCTCCTCCTCCTGAATTTGACCTGGTACCTCTTGAAGTAGGCCTTATTCTTCACCACTTTCACGAAACCCTATGAGAGAAGACAGTAATGTAGTTTGCATGTGTCAGTAACTACAACTATCCAGCTACCTGTCAACACACAAAACGTATCCCTAACATTACACATGCTGCAATTAAACGTTTATTTTATGCGGCTAAAGCTATCAGACATTCTGTTGCACTGAGTATTGGGCCTGTCATCGCTGATAGTGTTAGAAACAGCTAGCTAGCCTGTTAGCCAGCCTTACCTTTGCTACTTTTAGTGTTTGGCAACACTGCAAACATGTTTATTAGCGACTCACATCACGGGACAAGATAGACAATATCCACACATCAAGCAAAGTAACACATAGCTAGGAAGATCTCTACAGCGCTACAGGAAACATTAAATCATGAAGGCGGCCATTAGGCCACGTTTGATAGACCCGGTGAACAGTAGCCGAGTAGCCGGACAGAATCCATCTTCATCCAAGGATTTTCATAAACATCAAAAACATGTGATTGCAGACAACACACATCTGATGTCTTATATATGTATGTAGGAATGTATTTTGGCGTTTTACTAACCATGTTGCAGCCTTTTCTGTCTCCTTAGCCAGGAGCCTGGAGTCAAAGACTGGGGATTTCACTCCGCTGCACTAGAAAAAGGAAGTTTGCATTGCGCATGTTCCGTAAATAGTGCGACGCAGGATGTAAAAGAAGAGTAGGGAAAATACTGCACTGCCCTCTACTGTACAGAATGAACAACGACAATACCAGCTGATAAGACGGCTCTAACAAGAGTACCTGATCAAAAATGTGTATGACTGTGTGATTTTTCTTTGTGGGGTTGTAATAAACCATCATACAACACAAATGACATCACTCTGTGACTGTACCATGCTGTATGTGCATGCCTTCAGAAAGTATTCACAAAGTATTCACACCCCTTGACCTTTTCGGCATTTTGTTGTGTTAAAAAGTTGGATTAAAATTGATTTAATTGTATTTTTTTGCCAACGATCTACACAAAATACTCTGTAATGTTAGTGGAAGAAAAGTTCTAACATTTGTAAAAGATTAATTAAAAATATATCTTGATTAGATAAGTATTCAACCCCCTGAGTCAATACATGTTAGAATAACCTTTGGCAACGATTACAGCTATGAGTCTTTCTGGGTAAATCTCTAAGAGCTTTCCACACCTGGATTGTGCAGAATTTGCCCGTTATTCTTTAAATAATTATTCAATCTCTATCAAATTGGTTGTTGATCATTGCTAGGCAAACACTTTCAGGTTTTGCCATAGACTTTCAAACAGATTTAAGTAAAAACTCTGCCACTCAGGAACATTCTGTCTCATTAGTAAGTAACTCCAGTGTAGATTTGGCCTTGTGTTTTAGGTTATTGTCCTGCTGAAAGGTGAATTAATCTTCCAGTGTGGTGGAAAGCAGACTGAACAAGGTTTTCCTCTAGGATTTTGCCTGTGCTCAGCTCCATTCAATTTATTTTTTATTCTGAAAAACTCCCCAGTCCTTAACGATTACAAGTATATCCATGACATGATGTAGCCACCACTATGCTTGTAAATATGAAGAGTGCTACTCAGTAATGTGTTGTATTGGATTTGCCCCAAACATAACACTTTCTATTCAGGACAAAAAGTTAATTGCTTTGCCACGTTTTTTGCAGTATTACTTTAGTGCCTTGTTGCAAACAGGATGCAAATATTCTGTATAGGCTTCCTTCTTTTCACTCTGTCAATTAAGTTGGTATTGTGGAGTAACTACAATGTTGTTGATCCATCCTCAGTTTCCTCCTATCACAGCCATTAAACTCTGTAACTGTTTTCATGGTGAAATCCCTGAGCAGTTTCCTTCCTCTCCAGCCACTGAGTTAGGAAGGATGCCTATATCTTTGTAGTGCCTGGGGGTATCGATACACCGTCCAAAGTGCAATTAATAACTTCACCATGCTCAAAGGGATATTCAATTTACATGTGCACCCATCTACCAATAGGTGCCCTTCTTTGCGAGGCATCGGAAAACCTCCCTGGTCTTTGTGGTTGAATCTGTGTTTGAAATTCACTGCTTGACTGAGGGGCCTTCCAGATAATTGTATGTGTGGGGTACAGAGATGAGGTAGTCATTCAAAAATCATGTTAAACACTATTATTGCACACATAGTGAGTCCATGCAACTTATTATGTGACTTGTTAAGCAAATCTTTACTCCTGAACTTATTTAGGCTTGCCATAATAAAGGGATTGAATTCTTATTAAATCAAGCTTTTCATTTTTAATCCATTTTAAATTCAGGCTATAACACAACATATTGTGGAAAAAGTCAAGGGGGTGTGAATACTTTCTGATGACACAATTTACTGAATAAAAATGAACATTTTGTTTTCCTTATCGTAAGGTATTTACATTTTGCTAAAGGAAAATGTTAATAATAAAAACAACAGACACACCCAAAAGGTGTTGTACAGAACATACAAGCGTCATCATAAGGGAGGTTTGTTTCTGTTATTAATGTGTGGTATGTACTGTATGTATTTTCAGTCCATAATAGACAGACGTATGGCGTAGCCAAGAGTCTTACAGTGAGGGAAAAAAGTATTTGATCCCCTGCTGATTTTGTACGTTTGCCCACTGACAAAGACATGATCAGTCTATAATTTTAATGGTAGGTTTATTTGAACAGTAGGAGTTAGAATAACAACAACAAAAATCCAGAAAAACGCATGTCAAAAATGTTATAAATTGATTTGCATTTTAATGAGGGAAATAAGTATTTGACCCCCTCTCAATCAGAAAGATTTCTGGCTCCCAGGTGTCTTTTATGCAGGTAACGAGCTGAGATTAGGAGCACACTCTTAAAGGGAGTGCTCCTAATCTCAGCTTGTTACCTGTATAAAAGACACCTGTCCACAGAAGCAATCAATCAATCAGATTCCAAACTCTCCACCATCGACAAGACCAAAGAGCTCTCCAAGGATGTCAGGGACATGATTGTAGATCTACACAAAGCTGGAATGGGCTACAAGACCATCGCCAAGCAGCTTGGTGAGAAGGTGACAACAGTTGGTGCGATTATTCACAAATGGAAGAAACACAAAATAACTGTCAATCTCCCTCGGCCTTGGGCTCCATGCAAGATCTCACCTCGTGGAGTTGCAATGATCATGAGAACGGTGAGGAATCAGCCCAGAATTACACGGGAGGATCTTGTCAATGATCTCAAGGCAGCTGGGACCATAGTCACCAAGAAAACAATTGGTAACACACTACGCCGTGAAGGACTGAAATCCTGCAGCGCCCGCAAGGTCCCCCTGCTCAAGAAAGCACATATACATGCCCGTCTGAAGTTTGCCAATGAACATCTGAATGATTCAGAGGAGAACTGGGTGAAAGTGTTGTGGTCAGATGAGACCAAAATGGAGCTCTTTGGCATCAACTCAACTCGCCGTGTTTGGAGGAGGAGGAATGCTGCCTATGACCCCAAGAACACCGTCCCCACCGTCAAACATGGAGGTGGACACATTATGCTTTGGGGGTGTTTTTCTGCTAAGGGGACAGGACAACTTCACCGCATCAAAGGGACGATGGACGGGTCCATATACCGTCAAATCTTGGGTGAGAACCTCCTTCCCTCAGCCAGGGCATTGAAAATGGGTCGTGGATGGGTATTCCAGCATGACAATGACCCAAAACACACGGCCAAGGCAACAAAGGAGTGGCTCAAGAAGAAGCACATTAAGGTCCTGGAGTGGCCTAGCCAGTCTCCAGACCTTAATCCCATAGAAAATCTGTGGAGGGAGCTGAAGGTTTGAGTTGCCAAACGTCAGCCTCAAAACCTTAATGACTTGGAGAAGATCTGCAAAGAGGAGTGGGACAAAATCCCTCCTGAGATGTGTGCAAACCTGGTGGCCAACTACAAGAAACATCTGACCTCTGTGATTGCCAAGAAGGGTTTTGCCACCAAGTACTAAGTAATGTTTTGCAGAGGGGTCAAATACTTATTTCCCTCAATAAAATGCAAATCAATTTATAACATTTTTTGACATGCATTTTTCTGGATTTTGTTGTTGTTATTCTGTCTCTCACTGTTCAAATAAACCTACCATTAAAATTGTAGACTGATCATGTCTTTGTCAGTGGGCAAACGTACAAAATCAGCAGGGGATCAAATACCTTTTTCCTTCACTGTACGTCAGCCATTTTTTTAGAACAGACAAGGGTGTGGCTAACATAAGAAATATGATATTTACGTAAGCACTTCCATGTAAAACCAGAAAAGTTTGTTTGATGACCTTTTGTTCATATGTGGATCAAGATAGTCAGCTCTGCCATTCACCTCATTCTCACCTGTCTCAGAAAAGGCTTAAGTGCTTTTTTAGTCTGAGCTGGACAGCTGATAGTGAACCTTTATTTTGACATTTTTTGATTGACATTGTCTCTCTGTCACCCACTCTGAGTGTGGCATGTTTTCTGTGATCTAGTCCGTGCTGTAGTTTGTGCTGTAGTGATTGGCTTCCAGTTCTTTGCAGTTACTCTTGACTTTAGTAGACTACAGCTAATAGGAGCATACTGTTTTACAGAGCAAAATTAAACAATAGAAGGTTTATGAATATGAAAACTGGTTAATATTATATGATAAGAAAATTGTTTAGATAATTTTTTATGAGATAAAAACTGATACAGAATTATCCAATGTCCTCTGATAGTGTATTACGTTGTGTGCTGATAAGAAATAGTTGACATGAACTTGCATCATTAAAAAAAAAAAACTATAGGCCTAGCTAATGGATTTTATAAAGAGGCCAGAGTTAAATGTGTCTGTAGCTAAGTGCAGGGCAATAAAATAATCACCAGATGACAGTAGTGTACTATTTTCCAGTTGTTAGGTTTTTGAGGTCGATCGACGTGACGCATGCTCTGTACAGTGGATGTAAACATTGGAGCTGCCCTTTTGTTGGCACGAGCAGGCTGTAGATTTGTTTAGGCTACACGAATTCGGCTTGATGGGTTGGACTGTGGAGCTGTTGCCTGGTGGTGGAATCAGCTAGCTAGCAAACTGAAACTCCGCATAAAAAAAAATTCTGAAACCGGGCTGTTGAACTCCATGTAGTTCAATTGCGCAAGACTGTGCAGTTGTACTTTGGTCCATGGAAAGTTAATATTTATCTCTGAGAATTGAAAAGGCTTCAGACAAGGTAAGCGCGGCTCATACTTTTTTATTTTTTGAGAGCAAGGAGCTGTTGTTTTAGCTAGCAAACGTTAATAGTTGTGTAGCTACTTTTCCTCTCCACCGGGTAGGTTTCATGTTAGCTAGCTAGCTAGCTATCTTCAGTGTTTGGAAATAGTCTGGAGTTAATCATGCGTCTGCTACTGTAGGTTGCTTGAGACGGCACTGTATTTCAGTTCAGCTTTTTATGTCACTAAATAACTTTAGCTAGCTAGTTAGCTAACTTGCTGCCTGGCTAATCATGTAAACGGCATTAGCTAACTGGTTAGCTACCTAGCTAAGCTAACTAACTAGCAACTTCCCTAGCTAATAAGCTGTTTGTTCATCGAGGATATGCACAAGTGTTTGCTATGAATTAATAATTCATCGCTAGCTAGCTAAACTGCATGCAAACTATTTCCTGA